TTAGTAATTAAGTGTAAAAATAATATTTTAAAATTCTAGTTCAATATAACGTATTCTAACCTAAACACACCTTTTAGAAAGAATCTTTACGTATACAAATACGAATTTAAGGGACAAAACATGCCGAAAAACGTTTTGTCGTTGATAAAAAAAACAAAAAACAGACGACATGCGTTGAACAGATGTCAAAATTCGTTAAAAAATGCACCCTTACCCTCCTAAACTTGACCTCTTTTTCGAACGTAACTCATAATTGATACAATAATAGTTAATAAAAATGAACACGCTACAGTCCCTGTCTAAATGATTGCATTTTTCTGTATCTTTGGAAAAACAAATTATGAATTGTATGTGCCTTTAAAACTCAGTAAATTTAAAAATAAGTTATTCCAAAATTCGCTTGAAGATGAAACTGAACTAATGCTTTTAATTTAAATATATAATTAAATTTGAAGTTTTTAGCTTTGGTTTTGAAACATGGTAATTCCTGTGTATCGAAGAAACAATATTAATTTTTATATATATATATATATATATATATATATAATTGTTACTTCTTTGCAGAAGACCATCTCTTCACTTCGTAGCCTTTTGTGTTTTTAATTCAGAATTTTATTATTTCCATCATTTTCACCTAAGCTACGAATTCACTGGAAGCAGGGAAGAAGCCCTCGTCATATTTTGTAGAATTTAATAAAAGCAAGAAGAAAGGATGAAGCTGTGACGTCAGTCGAAGCCATATTTGTTACCCTTCTTCTAATATTGTTTAACCATCGCACTCGCTATGCTGTTCACGTTCAACCATTGAAAAACATTACGCTATATATATATATATATATATATATATATATATATATATATATGATGTAGGAATTTCAGTCGAATCTATTCCATTCACTTACGTGCTTTGGGAAAGGTATTAATCCTCTTCTACCTCAAGCTATGTGTAAATAGCAGGGCACACTGGGTTCTATAGCCTTGCATGGTAACTGGTCGTGGAGAATGACAACTTTCAATTCCAAATCTGGCGAGTGTCGTTTGGGGACCTTGTGGCACGTGGTCCACCAGGTCTTTGTATTCGGCCCTTCAAAAAGTGTGGATGGTTCTACACAAATCTTTCACCACGATAACCAAATCGTATTTGCTGGTGTCTGACTGTCGGTTCCTAGGAACTGAGCCACATACGTCAAATATGACGGGAGAGTCCACCATACATATATATATATATATATATATACACACACACACACACACAACCACACACACACACACACATATATATATATATATATATATATATATATATATATTGATATGTCCGGGAAAGGGATATATTTGATCGAAGTATCTCTGGGTTTGGCTACTATAACCAATTAGTACATGGTAGCAGTAATCGACTGTTACTCGTCGTAGTCGCAGGTAATATGTGTAGACCAATAGGATAGTCAATGGTGTAGTCCAATGGTCGTCGTCGTAGACTTAAACTCTTTCCTACCTACACGTCCGTCTGTATTTATGACGGACACCAGCCAATCATATTCCAGTGAGGGGGAACTCAGATATATGCATATTCCATTATATATATATATTTATATATATATATATATATATATTAAAACTATAGTAGCCTAATTCACTAAGAGGAAAAAAATAACACCAAATCACATTAAATAAGAATGTAGCCATAATATGGTGACCATGTTTGGAAAATAATAAAACATTCCCATCATTCTGAAAACATAAAAAAAAACATTTACCCAAAAAAAAAAGAAAAGAAAAAGACACCCTTGATAATGGAAAGCTAATAGAGCTCAGATATACATTTGGACAATGATCACGCATTTTATGTTCAGATAAGAAAACCCATATATAAAAAAAAGTTTAATTGTTTGTCACCTTTAATGAAACTTGCATAAATGTGTGGCACAATTATATATATATATATATATATATATATATATATATAATGGATATATATATAGGATGCAGGTTCGAATCCTGTCAAAGGACGAATATTTTCTATGAAAATTTCTCGGACATTCAGGCCGGTAAATGTTATTTAATACTGTTTATCATAAACAGAGCATTTACTTAAATACTTGTATCTATAAAAAGAACGTTAAACATAAAATGTCTTTTAATATATATATATATATATATATATATATATATATATATATATATATATATATATATATATATGTATATATATATGTAGTGCATATATATATATATATATATATATATATATATATATATATATATATATATATAGTGCATATATTTCCCAGCATATATATATATATATATATATATATATATATATATATATATATATATATATATATATATATATATATATATTTCAATATAAGTGCAATTATAATTTATAAATTCATGAATCATTCATACACTAAAACAAATAGAGAGGTTAATGATTTAAATGGCGAGAATACATATTCGCAAACAATATCAAAAGGATACACCAATCCCGAACCTGTATATGAATGATATGTTTATAAATTCCAGTTTCATAAGGTATTTTTTAGTTTTTACAAGCTTTCGTCTGTTCCTACAGACATCCTCAGGTATGAAAATAGATTTGTTTTTGTTTTTACTTCTCGGTAATAAGAGGACAACGAAAATATAGATGTAATCCGAATAAATGCTATGGGAAATGTGTTATTGTTTTCGTTGTCCTCTTATTACCCAGAAGTAAAAACAAGAACAAATATATTTTCATACCTGAGGATGTCTGTAGGAACAGACGAAAGCTTGTAAAACATTAAAACATTCATATACAGGTTCGGGGTTGGTGTATCTTTTTGATATTGTTTGCGAACATGTATTCTCGCCATTTAAATCATTAACCTCTCAATTTGTTTTATTGTATGAATGATTCATGAATTTATATATATATATATATATATATATATATATATATATATATATATATACCTTGTGCAAATTAATTGAAACAAAACAAATAATTCCGGTGTTACTATTAACATTTTTCTATTTTTACAATGAAGCTTGATCCAGTGCACATGTTATTACTTCCTATGTCCCCTACGCAATATCGTTCCTTGCAGATTGACCACAGATTCACGATTGGATTTAAATCAGGAAAGTTTCCGGGCCAGTCTATAGTACTTTGATTTGCTCACTGGTAAGGCTTGTCCGTGTGTCCGTGCAGCGTTACAATTTTCGTAGGCTTTCATTGGATTAACGTCCAGCGCAGACAAAAGAATTAGGACAACTAATCGACAGTCAAGACAATAGTGTCTGGGCGCAATGAAAATGTGATGCAATCACGGATGACACAATATTTTTCAAGGCCAAGCAAATTTCATCATACACCCCGAAATTAGATTCATATTACTGCACGCCACAGAAAATGAACTAATCTGAGGAAAAAATAGAATTTGATTACACCCTCTCATTCCAGTGGGTCTAAAACTGACCGTATGGTGAAAGAAAGGTAACTAAAGCGGTTTTTTCAATTAATTTGCACCATTGTATATATATATATATATATATATATATATATATATATATATATATATATATCAACAGTGACTCGATATTGCTAACCAGACGCTCCCTCTGTAGCTAAATAGAATAGAATGTCAGACTATATGACGTTTCCGTATAGGATAAAGGTTCGTTTCTTTATCGGAAGGCGCATACATTCTATGAAATTTCTCGGACATCCAGGCCGGTAAATATTGTTAATACTGTTTATTATAAACAGGGCATTTATTTAAATATTTATGTCTACAAAAATAACGTATAAATCGAAAATATATGTATATATATATGTGTGTGTGTTTTTGTGTGATTGCTGTTAATATTAGGCTGGGTTGAAAGTGTGTGGTTTTAGAGTCACTGTGCAACTGAGCATCTGACCAATTCCCTCTATATATCTGGGTTGAAAGCCAGAGAACCAGTTTTGTCAATAATGTCAGACGGTATTAATAACATTACTATAAACAGCAAACATTAACATATATTAATATATATGTGTGTGTGATTGTATCACAATCCTAATATCTCTAGGAAGTGTCACAGTAGTACCATTAGTCCAAAGAATAGAATAATTAGTTATTCTATCTTTTTTTAGCAGCCCATACCTTTTAAGAAGTACGATGGAAATTAGTCAAACACAGAGATAGGAGCCGCCATAAAGAGAGGAAAGTTTAGTATTCTTCATAATACTAACATGGAAAGTAGCAGATATTTCTCAGCGTCCTCGGTAAGACGATAAACTACATCCGACAGCAAGGCCTCTGATATGGAGGTTTTGGGAGCGTGGTTTCTACTTCTTAATTGATGGTGTTCTCAGATCCATTTTGACCCGGGATGGTAGCAACTGGTCCCAGCAAATAGTTGATCCCTCCCCGCAAACTGGGGTCAAAACACTATGAAAGTTTAGAAATAGATTTTAATACCAGGAATACATTTTTGAGGAAAAATTATTACCAGCTATAAAAATCCTGTCGGCATTAAATAATCCATTGAGATTGAAATGCCGTAAAAGAAAACAAACCAAAACAAAAACATCTAAACCAAACGAAACTGGAAGTAAAGTGCCACAACATAAGCTACGCTTAAAAATTATTTTGGACATTTGATGTGGTGTAATGGTTAACAAGCAAGTTTCGCTAGATCAGTTACGACTGAATAGTGGGTTCGATCTTCCTTGGGTCCCCCATATTTTTAACCTTATGCCACATTTAAGCTACGCTACGAAAAACACCATTGCATCAGTTTGTCTGCGATTTTTATTGTTAATATAAAATGACTGCAAGAAAACTTCGGCGTGTTGCAGCGGTTAGCAAGACCCTATCGTTAGATCAATTACATACTCACTAGGCTCTCCATACTTTTGGCCTTGTGACGCACCTAGACTATGCTTAGTGAATCGTTATAAAATGGCCGCAACCTGACACTGGTGTTTATTTTGCTGTAAAACACAACAAACGAAACCAACAAATTTCTCACAGTCCTGTGGAATTATAATGGACGAAAAGCTGTTTGACAAATGTGATATAGATCGATAGATAGATAGAGAGAGAGAGAGAGAGAGAGAGAGAGAGAGAGAGAGAGAGAGAGAGAGAGATAACAGAAAGAGAGAGAAGAAGCAAATGTTTCGGAGACGATAGTTTGGAGACATGAAGAAAGGTAAGCGTAGATGAAGGACTGAAAAAAAACAAAAACAAAAAAACAACAAAAAAAAGGCGGAACTGAAGATGAAGACGAGGAATCAATTTCGGAAAGAATTTGAATGCAAAACAAACCAAAATGTTGAATATTTAAAAAAGGAATAAATGGCATATAACCTAATAAAAGAACAAGAACTACTCATAATTTCAAATATCGAAATTATTAACTAGAATTTTAAATAATTTCCATTTTCATTTATTAGCACCATTCTGTAAAAAAACAACCAAAAAAAAAAAAAAAATAACAATTACAATTACGCCTTATTCAATTATTTTCAATAACTTGTCACTTTTATCAAGCAGTTCTTCGATACCGTTTGAGCAAAATCTGGTTTTCATTACAGAACATCCGTGTCCTGGGTAAGACGATAAACTACGTCCGACAGCAAGGTCTCTGATCAGCAGTTTTTGAGGAACGTGGAACCACCTCTTAATTGCTGGTGTTCCCACCATGACCCGGTGTGTAAGCCGCTGTCAGGTAACCTGCTATGGGCAAATAGCTGATCTCTCCAAACTGGTATAAAAACACTATGAAAGTGTAAAAATAGGATTTAATACCAGCAATAAATTTTTGAGGGAAATTTATTACCAGCAATACATTTTTAAAGAAAAAAAAACTTACTAGCTATTTATTATTGAAAGAAAAAATATTACCAGCAATAAAAATCATGTCGACATCAAATAACCCACTGAGGTTGATATACCGTAAAATAAGACAAACGAAACCAATATATACTTAGAAAGAAAATAGTTATTTTCTAAGCGTAGCTTAGATGTGGCACAATGCCGAAAGTATAGGACTAGGTGAGGATCGAACTCACTTTTCAGTCGTAATTGATCTAGCGAGACAAGTCTGCTAACCATTAGACCACGCCGAGGTGCCCAAGAAAGAAAATAAAACCAGCAATAAAAATCTTGTCGGCATTAAATAACCCATGGCGGTTGATATGCTGTAAAACCAAAACAAACCAAACAGATAGATAGATAGATAGATAGATAGATAGATAGATATGAACAAACTGATAGATAGAAAGATAGATAGATAGATAGATAGATAGATAATTAGCAATTAAAATCTTGTCGGCATTAAATAACCCATTGAGGTTGATATGCTGTAAAACCAAAACAAACCAAACCAATATTTACTTAGATAGATAGATAGGTAGATAGGTAGATAGATAGATAGATAGATAGAAAATATGACCAGCAATAAAAATCATGTCGGCATCAAATAAACCACTTCTGTCGGCTTTTCAATAACGTCTTCACTATTTTCTTCCAAAAATTGCCATTTGTTATTTCCTTATATTTTACGTAATCTTGTCTTCGGTGTTTCAACAGCCATTGTAGCTGTTATTTTAGTTGTGCAAGCCTATCCTAATAAAAAGCTTTCGAATTTATCTTGATAATGTCGGCTTCCCGTTGATCAGAGGCCAGAAGGAAAAATAATTCTTAAGAAATATCAACCGTTCCGACGCATTTTTACATACAGCTAATTTTGGTTCAAAAATTCGCACTGAGGATTGAAACTGACAGTCTCCATACAAAGTTGATTCCCATGTCCAATTTCTTTCTCCCTCTTCCCTTCTCTCTATATGCATGTGAGTGTAAAAAATGATATATAATTATAAATGTATAAATAAATACTAAAACAGAAATTAAAATAATTAAAAAAAAAAACTATGTTGGATTAGTTCAAATCATTATAACGATACAGTAAAAAAAATGTTTCGTGTGAAAACGCTTAACATCAACGTTAAACTACACCTGGCAGCAAGGCCACTGAACGTGAAATTGTTGAGGTTAATATACCGTAAAATAAGACAAACGAAACCAATATATACTTAAAAAGAAAGAAAGAAAATATAGTTATTTTCTAAGCGTAGCTTAGATGTGGCACAAGGCCGAAAGTATGGGGCATCCAGTGAAGATCGAACTCACTTTTCAGTCGTAACTGATCTAGCAAGACAAGCTTGCTAACCATTACATCACGCCGATGTGCCCAGGAAAGAAAATATAACCAACAATAAAAATCTTGTCGGCATTAAATAAGGTATTGAGGAGCAGTGAACCCCCACTTAAATGGTTTTGATCCCAGGCCCACACTGATTCGGGCTGGTATCACCTGTTAGGGTCCTAGTGAAAGGCAATTAGTGACCCACCAACAAAATGCCAAACACAATGAAGGTATAAAAATACATTTTATAGTAAAAATACCCGCAATACATTTTGATATAAAAAGAATTACCAAAATTACGTATTCATAGTAAAATAACCAACAATACATTTTTAACGCAAATGATCAGCAATATATTTTATTTATAGTTGAAGGTCTACAACTACAGTCAAAATATTTTGATTTCGACCATTAAATAATCTATAGGCGTTGATATGTCGCTAAACAAATTTAACAGACCAACTAACAACCAATATGAAAGATCTCTTTCATGACATAAAGCTACATTCCTTGGATTGAGGAATCGGAGAGCTGAATTCGAATTCCAGTCGAATCTATTACATTCCCATACGCGCTATATCCTAATGCGAGAAAAAAAAATCTGCCTCGTCTGTCATGTATCGAACGATACATGATCGCTTAAGCGTGTTTCACGCATAGCGCATAACTGACTGAAATCCACACGTGCTAATACCCTTGGGAAAAATATGAATCCTCTTCTTCTTAGCTATTGGACAGATCGGCTTGGATGGCAATTGGTCTACTGCAAAAAGAAATGACAACCTACTGCGCCAAAATATCTGCCTCGTCAGTCATGTATCGAAAGATACATGATCGCTTAAGCGTGTTTCACGCATGGCGCATAACGGACTGAAATCCACTTACGTGCTAATACCCTTGGGAAAGGTATGGATCTTCTTTTGCTTAACTATGGGTAAATAGCAGGACAGATCGGGTTCTATAGCCTTGGATGGCAACTGGTCTACCGCAGAAAGAAATGGCAACTTACTGCGAAAAAAAAAATCTGCCTCGTCAGTCTTGTATCGAAAGATGTATGATCGCTTAAGCATGTATCACGTATGGGAAATAACTGACTGAAGCTGCATAATATCCTACAATTACTTAAAGAAATCAGACTTCAAATATAACTTCAACAAAACTACAACATACAACACATATATCACTATCTCTATTTATTATGTCCACTTAAACATTTGGGGGTGGATCGTTCCGTTGTAGCCCATTTGGCGTTGTTGGTTCGGCATTTACGACAGCGAATGCTGGACGATTTCCTTACGGATGAAGAAGTGACTCGAGGCGACGGAGATGTGCTTCCACAGAAGAATGCTAAGGATATCATGGACCGAGCGTGTGAGCAACGATGAGATCTTAGAGAGGTTGCAAACAAGGAGGAGGCTTATACTTAATATCAGGAAGAGGCAGCTGAAGTTCCTGGGGCACATAATGAGGAACGAGTGTCTGGAGAATCTGATACTCACAGGTCGGATAGAGGGAATGAGAGACAAGAGAAAACAACGCTTGTCGTAACTGGCAAGCTTAAGGAAGCGGACGACAGAACGTGGTCTGGGGGAGGTAGCAGAGGGAAGGAGCTGCAAGGGATAGAAGCGGGGGTGGAGATCCATGATCGTCTATGTCCTGAAAGGACATGGGACATAAAAAGAAAAGATTCGACATAGGATTTTTTTCGGCCGAGGGACGATTAGGCGTCAGATTACGACTTCGTCGTTATAGTCATTCTCTCTCTCTCTCTCTCTCTCTCTCTCGTTTATTAGTCAAATTAGTTCTCTCTCTCGTTTATTAGTCAAATTAGTTCTCTCCCTCTCGTTTATTAGGCAAATTAGTTCTCTCTCGTTTATTAGTCAAATTAGTACTCTCTCTCTCTCTCGTTTATTAGTCAAATTAGTACTCTCTCTCTCTCGTTTATTAGTCAAATTAGTTCTCTCTCTCTCGTTTATTAGTCAAATTAGTTCTCTCTCTCTCTCGTTTATTAGTTAAATTCGTACTCTCTCTCTCTCTCTCTCTCTCTCTCTCTCTCTCTCTCGTTTATTAGTCAAATTAGTACTTCGGCGTTATATGTTCGAATAGTACAATTTAAAAAAAAGAGTATTTGGAGACATTTTTAAATTTAAGAAAAAGAGTAACTGAAGGCATTTTTATATTATATTTCCTTCAATACAGCTTCATATTTTTCAGTCGTCAAAGCCGTTTTGTTCCAAATGGAAGCAAATGTTTTATCAAAACATGGAAGAAACAAAGCGATACACGATGGATTCCTTTTTATTTTTGACGCAACGAGCAAGAGAGATCCGGAATTAAATTTTTAGTAATGTGAACAGAAAGATTGATGTGAGATTACATATGAAGGATGTAAAAATATTTCCCCAGTTGAATGGAGACATCCATGAAACATCTGCTGCAAAAATAGACATTGAAAAGATGTGCAAACACAGAGACTTCGAAACAATCTGACGCCTAAACGTCTGCGCCGAATAGTCCAATTATTTTGCTGGCACCGAATCAACGATGCTGAATCAACGAAGCCGAATCATCCACGCCGAATCAATGACGTCAAATGGGCTACGCTGAAACGTACCAAATTCCAGACAAGTATATGAACAAAAACTGAATATAATCTACCATGTATTCAACTGTGGACGCAGAATAACATATATCCTCTTGTTATGACTTCAAAATTCCAAAGAAAATTAAATTTCGCCATTAAATGTCCGATAATATGCTGTTAAATAAACAAATCAACCAATCAGCTTAACGCGAGTTAGTTTTACTTGTGTTAATATAGAGAATTTCGAACTGAACACTTTATTTAATCTGCAGGGTCAGTGGAACGAGAACAATTTGGCTCCTATAGGTTAAGTATAGGGTTCACTTCCCTGAAGGTTACCCAGATCGAGAAGTACCTGATGAAGGCCAGAGGCAAAAGATGAAGAGAATAATCTGACAGTAAATTAAATAAGTAATAAAAAGCAAGGATATTTGAATTTGTCTTTCCTTAGCATTTTTGACCAGGCACCAGCGCTCTAACCAGTGTTCCTTGCCGCTAAATAACTCTCAGCGATTCTAATCTGGTTGAACATTACATCTGAGAAGCGATGTCAATCATTAATTAGTGCCTCATACAAAGAAAAATCATCATTAAATAGAGATGGGTTGATTCAGGGCGGCGCGTCTTACCCCCGAAACTCCGACCGAAGGGGTTGTTTTTTGGGCTCCGTTTGGGCAACTGCTATTTTTTTCAGCAGTTTTATAGTCATCCGCCATTTTTAAGAAAAATATTTTTAAACTTACGTTACATTGTCAGTCATCAACTAATAATATACATCGTTTATATGCATTGCCGGTGTGGTGCGTACTACACAGGAACTCCTAACAAGGTTGGAGCCCTAAAAGGGATAATTTCAGTAGAGTTTTTTTTTTCTTTTTGTACTTTCCCTTTTTTCTACTCAAGTGGAATAGTTATATTGTGACTCATCAACTATAATAAGCAACATGGCCGGTGCTTACTACCCCAAGTTTCACAACCGCGTGGGGCCACTTACCTACGTGGGAATGGACAGATGTGCCAATTTTTGAAGGGCTTATTTTTTAAGCTGTAATTTTCTTTCTGAACAGTTCTTTCATATCAATTAAGATATCTCGGTAAAATCTATTTTTTTTATTTTTTTATTCCGAGATCATCAACTAAGGAGTTGATTTGAATCTTTTTTCAAGAGAAATAATACTAACTGGAAGTCCACAGCAAGTAATTAAAATAAAATTTCTAGGTCCTCTTTTTTTTTTTTACATTTCTTGAAAGAGAAAACAAAAAAAATGGACGCTTAAAAAATAAAAAATCTTTAACACACGAAACAATTTTCCCCGAAAACTGAAATACTGTTTCTGAAATAATTTTTTTTTGTGTATATGTCTGTTTGTATATATATATATATATATATATATATATATATATATATATATATATATATATATATATATATATATATATATATATATATATATATGTGTATGTTATTTATTGTTTTATTTTCTTCTATTCTTAAAAAAAACCCACCAATTCTTGGCCGCATGTAGGAAGATCAA